AAAGTTTGGTGAGTTTTCGTGTTTGTTAAGTGGGTCAAATATGAGATCAAACAACATAAAACCTAAATACCTGTATCCCCATGTAAACCTTTACTCAGCCTGTAGGGGGCACTAATGGGCCAATGTCATTGTTCACACTGTCATGTGACCTAGGCCCAGGAGTTGAACAACCGAGTCAAGTTTAGTGCTGAGTTTGTAAATGTGCTCCTGTTTGCCCATACAATCTGTGAGTGTGTCCATACAGTCTCCATTGGATAACATGAGAACTTCACACCTCTCTATGAAAATGACCACACTTTGGGGGTCTGTCACGCTCAGACCGTTTGACTAATTAAAACTCTATATGCAACTATTGATGGTCCATGTGTGGAGACCATGTGGAGCGATTTTCAGACAAATTAGTGAAAGGGCCGAGGCTGGTTTGATGTTTGAGCGAGGTGTACTTTTCAGAGATTTAACGATTTTCTCATAGACACAGACAGGGGAGTGTTGGTCGTCGCCACGGCAACAGGGTAAAAAATAACCATATGTTGTCATTGACTTTTTGAATCCAGATGACGAAACAGAATTATGTGCAAAATTTCAAACATTTTGACAAAACTAAATTTTAAAAAGCCCATGTAAAACTTTAACATAGTCTGTAGGGGGCGCTAATGAGCCAATTTCAATATTTCCACTTTCAGATGACCTAGACCCTGGAGCTGAACAATGGATTAAAATTTGGTGCAAATCCGGCTCTGTTTGTGCAAATGGGAGCAAATTTACTTTTGTCAAAAATTGGGAAAAAAATGTCACATTTTGCCGCTCCGCTGCTCGGACAACGTTTAACTGATCCAAATTCTATATTCAATAATAGATGGGACATGGGTTTAGACCATGTGGAGCGATTTTGAGACAAATCTGTGAAGCGGCCGAGGAGGAGATAATTTCCAGCCGACATGTGTGAAAAAGATCAATTTTCATTTTTCCATTTTCCAATTAAATTAATGAGCTTCCTGTTTGTCAGGGGGCGGAGCCATAATAACTTTTTTTTCATGTCTTGACCTGAGGAACATGTGTACCGAATTTCGTGGCTCCACGACAAACTTGACCTCCGACCCCCTCCCATAGGCGCAATGTAAACTGACTTTTGTAGGGGGCGCTATTCTGACATTTTTTTAGTCCCATAAAAATAAACACCAAAAAAATTAATTTTTCGCCGGTTCTGAATTTTGGGCAAAATTTCACAACTTTTCATCAATGTTCAGGGGGTCAAATTAAGGTTCAAAGCGCAGAAGAAAAAAGAAATAATAATAAATAAACCAAACCAAGGAATTTTTTTTTTTAAATCTTTGAGCAAAAACAATATAGGTTTCCATAGTAACCTATAATACAAATGATACGTCGTTTTAAAGCGAACGACCAGACGAACGCAACTATTGGGTTCTCGGTGATTGACGAGCGCTGACGCGCTCGTCAATCACCTCGCCATCATGAGGTCACCCACCCCCCCCATAGGACCCCATTGATTACACTGTGTACTACAGCAGGAGCAAAGCCATTCAGTGCCTCCGGCACTGTTTTGTCAGTGTCTGGGCACGCGCCGTCGGGCTTGGGGGACGAATGTCCGGGCTTCGCCCGGACATTCGTCCGTAAGACAGTTGAAGGAACCCCCCTTTAATAGGACTTCAATCATTTCACTGAGCAAGCATTCAGTGCCTCCGGCACTGTTTTGTCAGTGTCTGGGCACGCGCCGTCGGGCTTGGGGGACGAATGTCCGGGCTTCGCCCGGACATTCGTCCGTAAAACAGTTGAAGGAACCCCCCTTTAATAGGACTTCAATCATTTCACTGTGTACTACAGCAGGAACAAAGCCATTCCGTGCCTCCGGCACGGATTTATCAGTGCTTGGGCACGTGCCGTCGCGTGCAGGTCACAATCTCCGGGCTGCGCCCGGAGATTGTGACTTAAAACAGTTCAACGAGTAATGCCTGGGCTTCGCCCAGGCATTACTCGTTGGAAAAGCAATAGGCCCTTACCCCGGTTGGGGCTCGGGCCTAATTAAAGCCGCAAGCGGCATCTAACGGCCCTCGCCGCACCGCGCAAAGGAGGTGGCGCTGACGCGCCATTTTTGCACCCCCCTGATGGTAGCGACACTGTGCATTTTGAATTCCTATGATTAGTGATTGTGTGTGTCTATTGAAAAGGTAAACTTGATTCTCCCCATGTAACACTTGACTCAGTCTGTAGGGGGCGCTATTTGCAATTTCATGATTTACACTTTCAGTTCACTCAAACCCAAGAGTTGAACAATCAATTCAAATTTGGTGCAAATCGGACTTTGTATGTGCAAATGGTGGCATTTAATGTTGTACAACAGCGCCCCCTACAATTTAAATTGGTTAGTGTTATACCAAAGAACACCAAAATAATACACTTAATGCCTGAAAAAAACTTGTGGCAAGGTTTGGTGAGTTTTCATGTTTGTAAAGTGGGTCAAATATGAGATCAAACAACAGAAAACCCAAATAACTGTATCCCCATGTAAACCTTCACACAGTCTGTAGGGGGCGCTAATGGGCCAATGTCATTGTTCACAATGTCATGTGACCTAGGCCCAGGAGTTGAACAACCGAGTCAAGTTTAGTGCAAATCAGAGTTTGTGAATGTGCTCCTGTTTACACATACAATCTGTGAGTGTGTCCATACAGTCTCCATTGGATAACATGGGACCTTCACACCTCTCTATGAAAATGACCACACTTTGGGAGTCTGTCACGCGCAGACCGTTTGACTAATTAAAACTCTATATGCAACTATTGATGGTCCATGTGTGGAGACCATGTGGAGCAATTTTCAGACAAATTAGGGAAACGGCCGTGGCTGGTTTGATGTTTGAGCGAGGTGTACTTTTCAGAGATTTAACAATTTTCTCATAGACACAGACAGGGGAGTGTTGGTCGTCGCCACGGCAACAGGGTAAAAAATAATCATATGTTGTCATTGACTTTTTGAATCCAGATGACAAAACAGAATTATGTGCAAAATTTCAAACATTTTGACAAAACTAAATTTTAAAAAGCCCATGTAAAACTTTAACATAGTCTGTAGGGGGCGCTAATGAGCCAATTTCAATATTTCCACTTTCAGATGACCTAGACCCTGGAGCTGAACAATGGATTAAAATTTGGTGCAAATCTGACTTTTTTTGTGCAAATGGGAGCAAATTTACTTTTGTCAAAAATTGGAAAAAAATGTCACATTTTGCCGCTCCGCTGCTCGGACAACGTTTAACTGATCCAAATTCTATATTCAATAATAGATGGGACATGGGTTTAGACCATGTGGAGCGATTTTGAGACAAATCGGTGAAGCGGCCGAGGAGGAGATAATTTCCAGCCGACATGTGTGAAAAAGATCAATTTTCATTTTTCCATTTTCCAATTAAATTAATGAGCTTCCTGTTTGTCAGGGGGCGGAGCCATAATAACTTTTTTTTCATGTCTTGACCTGAGGAACATGTGTACCGAATTTCGTGGCTCTACGACAAACTTGACCTTCGACCCCCTCCCATAGGCGCAATGTAAACTGACTTTTGTAGGGGGCGCTATTCTGACATTTTTTTAGTCCCTTAAAAATAAACACCAAAAAAATTAATTTTTCACCGGTTCTGAATTTTGGGCAAAATTTCACAACTTTTCATCAATGTTCAGGGGGTCAAATTAAGGTTCAAAGCGCAGAAGAAAAAAGAAATAAAAAATAAAAATAAATAAACCAAGGAATTTTTTTTTTTAAATCTTCGAGCAAAAACAATATAGGTTTCCATAGTAACCTATAATACAAATGATACGTCGTTTTAAAGCGAACGACCAGACGAACGCAACTATTGGGTTCTCGGTGATTGACGAGCGCTGACGCGCTCGTCAATCACCTCGCCATCATGAGGTCACCCCACCCCCCCTAGGACCCCATTGATTACATTGTGTACTACAGCAGGAGCAAAGCCATTCAGTGCCTCCGGCACTGTTTTGTCAGTGTCTGGGCACGCGCCGTCGGGCTTGGGGGACGAATGTCCGGGCTTCGCCCGGACATTCGTCCGTAAAACAGTTGAAGGAACCCCCCTTTAATAGGACTTCAATCATTTCACTGTGTACTACAGCAGGAACAAAGCCATTCAGTGCCTCCGGCACTGTTTTGTCAGTGTCTGGGCACGCGCCGTCGGGCTTGGGGGACGAATGTCCGGGCTTCGCCCGGACATTCGTCCGTAAGACAGTTGAAGGAACCCCCCTTTAATAGGACTTCAATCATTTCACTGTGTACTACAGCAGGAACAAAGCCATTCCGTGCCTCCGGCACGGATTTATCAGTGCTTGGGCACGTGCCGTCGCGTGCAGGTCACAATCTCCGGGCTGCGCCCGGAGATTGTGACTTAAAACAGTTCAACGAGTAATGCCTGGGCTTCGCCCAGGCATTACTCGTTGGAAAAGCAATAGGCCCTTACCCCGGTTGGGGCTCGGGCCTAAAAAAGGAATTTTTTTTTTAACGTCTCGAGCAAAAACAATATAGGTTTCAATGGCACGTGATACATCATTTTAAAGCTTTTGAGTTTACGCACGCAACCGTCACGTTTTGGTGAGTGACGGGCGCTGACGCGTCCGTCACGCACCGCCACCATTTGTTTTCACCATTGCGAAAGCAATAGGCCCTTACCCCGTTCGGGGCTCGGGCCTAATAATAAGATCAATCAATCAAAAGGGCCTGGGTTCGCTTTAATTCACAGATACAGATCTCCAGTAGTATAGAGAAACTGCCCAAGGACACAACAGCAGCAGACGTCAGTGGGAGTCTCTTTACCCTTGTTTTCATCACATCTCCTTAATACAACATTACATCACATTTATTTAGTATGATGTATTATTATTTATTATTATTATGTATGTATTTGATTTTTTATTGTGCTTTATATTTGCATAACTGTATGTTAACCTTTCAGAGACCCGGGGGAGAACCAGCAGCACCAGATGGCTCAGACCGTGGGCATCGCCATGTGCCAGGCCATGATAGAGTACGACCAGGGCAACTACGACCAGGCCATGGAGCTGCTGTACCCCCTGCGCTACCGCATAGTGGACATAGGGGGCAGCGATGCACAGGTGTGTGTGTTTGTCTGTTTGTCTGGTCTGGTCTGGTCTGGTCTGGTCTGTCGTTGGCCATCATTGATCAGACCAGATTGGGTTTTCTTCTTCTCTTCTCACTCAGAGACTAAATCCCTGTTGTTGAGAAAACAGGCCAGAGGTGAAGTGTGTGTTGTGCATTGCAGTTGTTGTATATTTCTGCCGCCTTTCCAGGAACATACGTCGCCGAGAAAAATCCGGGGCGAGCGCCATGAATAATGAATCTGCGAGATGGATACTGATGGACTTTGTCTTTGAAACACCGTTCCCAGAGGAACCACAGTGTTCACAAAGTCTAACAATAGGATGAAAAGAGGATCCCAATTTGAAAATGTTGGCGTGGCTTTGTATTCTAATGGTTCTGTGTCCGCCGCTCGCAGAGAGACCTCTTCAATCAACTGCTCATTCACACGGCTCTGAAATCGGACAATAAGCGGCACCAGAAACTTGGAAGGTAAGACTGGGGTTTGGGTCCAGGCTCTTTCCTCTTGTCTGCAAACGGCTTCAGTGAAAGGGGAGACTCCGTTTGTGGATTTCATCAGTATCACTGCAAAAAGTGATGAAAAATAATTCAAATATGGCTCAAATCTGGGAAAACGTATCTTAATTTGAGTCAGTTTTGAGGGATTTAAAACAAGCTTTGCCAATGGGACGAAGCAAAATGATCTTGTTTTAAAAAGATATAAGAAAGTTCTCTTGGAATGAGAAAATAAAGCGACCGTTCTTGAAATAAGGCAAGTTTATTTGTATAGCACAATTCATACACAAGGAAACTCAAAGTGCTGAACAAGAAAGAGACAAACACACAAGGAATTCAAACATCAGAAATCACTGTAAAGATAAAACCCCTCAGTTTCTGGCTACACTGCAAAAACTGGCTCCAAAATTATTATTATTACTATTAGAAGAAATATACTTCAAACTTCAAGTTTCAGGCAAAATGATCTGCCAGTGGATCAGGATTTTTCCACTTGTTAAAGATTTCTTGAAACAAGAAAAAAAATATGAATAACAAGTAATTGTATGTTAGGAGGATTTTTCACTTCTGGGTGGATCATCAAGACGATTGGTCCTAAATGTCAATCATTCTGCTGGTACGTGCTCGGCAAATAAGACCAGACAGTTTTGTTCTAAAAGTGTAAAAGGCGGTTCTTACATTTGGGGAAAATCCTCCAAAACCTTTAAGTATCTTCAGCATGAGTACAAATGTAAAGTGTGATTAGATAAATACACGGACATCAAGTGAATTACACAAGTCTATATTTTACTTTTTGCAGTGGTATAATAACAACTGTTTTTATCTGGATTTAAACACTGTCAGAGAAGAAGCCTGTCTCATTCATTTCAGGAAGACTGTTCCAGATTTTCGCAGCATGAATCTGAAACTCAGCCTCTCCATGTTTGATTCTGACTCTGGGACCAGCAGGAAATAAGAAATAAGGCTAAATGGATTTGTCCCATTGGTAAATTTAGTATATTCAGTCAGCTCAAATTACGATGAAATAACCCCAAACCAGATTCAAGCCATTTGTAGCTCATATTTGATCATATTTATCCTTCCATCCATCCATTTTCTACCCTTTAATCCATTTCTGGGTCAGGGGGGTGGCAGTCAGAGATGCCACCCAAGTCTCATAGCACCAGCCCCTCACTGACCCTCTGCAGGTGGTGAGTCCACAGGAGGACGGCTGCTCTCTGACTGTGAGCATAGCCTTGATCTTTCAGTGGGGGCTTTGGGCAAAGTGGGGTTAAGTGTCTTGCCCAAGGACACAACGACAGCAGTCATCAGTGGGAGTCGGTGGAGAAGGTGTAGAGGTGGGAATTGAACCCACGACCTTCAGGCCTTAAGGCCAATGCTCTACCAACTGAGCTACTGTCGATCATATTTAATCATATTTAATCATATTTGATCATATTTAATCATATTTAATCATATTTGATCATATTTGATCATATTTAATCATATTTAATCATATTTGATCATATTTGATCATATTTGATCATATTTGATCATATTTAATCATATTTAATCATATTTAATCATATTTAATCATATTTGATCATATTTAATCATATTTGATCATATTTGATCATATTTGATCATATTTGATCATATTTGATCAGTTTTTGCAGTGCGTGGCGGTCTTGTCGTGTGTACAAACCGTTCGCTCTGTGCTGGACTTATGTAACCGCCGTGTCGGGCTTTTATTATTGATGGCGTTCGTTCCGTGTTCCCAGGTGTCTTCTGGTGGAGAGAGACTCGCTGAGGCTGGACTCCCCCATGACCCAGAGACTTCAGCAGACCGCCATGGCCCTCCACCTCTGAGGCTGGACTCCCCCATGACCCAGAGACTTCAGCAGACCGCCATGGCCCTCCACCTCTGAGGCTGGACTCCCCCATGACCCAGAGACTTCAGCAGACCGCCATGGCCCTCCACCTCTGAGTCTGAGTCTGAGTCTCTCCCACAGACATCTGACCGAATGATCCCAGCCAAGAATATGACCATTTTTTATTTTTACTTTTTAATAACTTTACTGTAATGTTCCATGACGAAGGATTTAGCGCCTTTATCCAATTCCATGTAATTGTTATCACATTTTAAGATTTTTTTTTCCCAAAGTGCTGTGTAGAAGTCAGCAGTGAAATTAAACGAGAATATGAAAATAAAGCAGTTAATTAAAACAAATCATATTCTAGCTTGTTACCAAATGCTAAACTAAAGTAAGATTACAGATTCTAATGTGGCCCTATGCTATTGAGTTCATAGTGTCATCCAGCCAACTTCAGCTCCGTCTACTATATTTCTTGTCGCAAAGCTCAGGCCCCCACGTGCCTAGTTACAGATTGCACTTTTGAAGCTGGTGAGAAAGTAAACATCTGTCATTCAGCCAACTTCAGCTCCGTCCAATGTGAACTGATATGCACTTGTCATATATCATTTTAAAGCTCAAACAAAGTTTTACAATTTGGGTTATCGACCGCTGGGAAAGTCTGGATAGTACCAACAACAAAACAGACATTTGACCAAATGTACAGACTTTATCAACATTTATGGACCAATGGCTCTGTGTGTTTGATTCTCTCACGAATAAAGGCTCTGTTATAGATAAAACTACTGTATGTATTTTTACTTGTGCTGCTGATCAACATTTTTCAGAAACTGTTTAGGAAAATTGATTGTCGTCTAAGTATTTGCTTTTGTAGAAGAATATTGTCACTTTCTAGTTTTAGTTAGTATTAAAACTGACATATATAATAATGTGAAATTAATTAGCTTTTTTCTAATCTCATTCCTGTCGATATCTGAATCGTAAATCCTGTTAAAGCAGCATTTTGTTTGAAGAAATACCAACGATTTTTCCAATTCAAGTATGAAATAAATCAGGCATTTTTAAAACCTGTTTTTTTCTCATCAGTCAAACATCACAGCAACGTGTGACACTTCTCACAGCTTTAGCATCTGTGCGAAAACACAAACCCGGAGAGAGAAGCGACCAATCCTCCAGAGTTTCCTTTCCCTCCTCCTCCTCCTCCTCTTCCTCTTCCTCTTCCTCTTCCTCCTCCTCCTCTTCCTCCTCCATCACAGCACCGAGCCGATCTCCTCCTCTTCCTCTTCCTCTTCCTCCTCCTCCTCCTCCTCTTCCTCCTCCATCACAGCACCGAGCCGATCTCCTCTTCCTCTTCCTCTTCCTCCTCCTCCTCCTCCTCTTCCTCCTCCATCACAGCACCGAGCCGATCTCCTCCTCTTCCTCTTCCTCTTCCTCCTCCTCCTCCTCCTCTTCCTCCTCCATCACAGCACCGAGCCGATCTCCTCCTCTTCCTCTTCCTCCTCCTCCTCCTCTTCCTCCTCCATCACAGCACCGAGCCGATCTCCTCCTGGATCTGAGCGATGAGGATCTGGGAGAGCACGATTCCAGCGATCTGCAAACACCAGTGTAAAAACACCAGTGTAAAAACACCAGTGTAAAAACACCAGTGTAAAAACACCAGTGTAAAAACAGCCACTTCACAAATCCACAGGTCGCTCCGAGTGTCACTCACTCAGCACAGCGTTTTAATTATGCAAATGTCTTTTAATTATGCAAATGTATTTTACTGACGCTATAATCAACAATAATCAACCTATTACCAACAAATGATGTGTTATGAGATGATTGCGAAGCAGAGGGGGCGTGGCCTCTGGGAGAGGAAAGAGATGATCCAAGTTTAACACAGTTGTGGTTATGTTTATTTATGCAAGTAGTTTTTAAGTGTTTTATTTTATTTTATTTTCATTGTTTTCATTTTAAATCTGGCAGGTATAATCCAATGTGTTACTTATCTCGTGCTGTGTGCTCCTCTTTATAACTTGTGATGCAACACTGAAATTTCCCCGCTGTGGGACGAATAATGGATCACTTAATCTTAATTATTTTTATCTTATTTTCATTGTTTGTATTTATACCTGACGCACTTTATTCTAACGTGTTACTCTTATCCGCGCAGCACTTTGGAGACGTGTTTTATACAATGTGCTATATAATTAAAGTGGACTGGAGTAGATTAGCGAGGTTATGATCTCGACCTGCGGCAAAAGAATAGTGAAAAACGTGACATTTACCCCAGATTTACACAACACCAAAACTAACCCTTATAGAATCCTAGTTGTTCTGGCTTTAGACTCCGGGGTAATCCGCTTATACTGCTTCAAAACACACTCTTCTGGGACCTCATGAACCCGATTTTAAAGAGTTGGAAGCAGTGGGTAATGTGGGACAACGGCAGAAGTCTTTTTGATAACCCAGGCTGCTCATTATTTAGAGTCAGAGCTTGATAATTTGATTTCATGGCCTATCACACATTTAGACTGGCATTAGCTGTGTGTAATGTCTTTGGGAAATGAAGGGGCTCCTGTATTTGCCAACAAGAAAACAAACAGTTGGAATGAGAGCTCCAGGTCCACATTAACCTACACTTTGAGTCTGGTTAAAGTTTTATCTCCCCCACGTGCCTAGTTAACGCTGTCGTGGGCAGAACTCAAGGCTGTGGTCTCGTCCTGCGTCTCTCATTCTGCGTTTTCATGATTGGGATTTGATATTACGGCTCCGATGCATTTGACAAATTGGTCTAATGCAAAATGAAAGCGGCAAAGTGATATATTTATATGACAGCGCTAACTCGGTCCAATTCATTACAGAGTGTATATTATAAGGAATGTGCTTGTTGAATTTCTCTAGTTTGAGCATTGTGCCAAAGTGTAAATCATAAAGCTATAGGTCTAAAGAGCGCTAAAGGTTGGATATTATTAACACGGTTTTACAGCAGTCAAAATTCAATTTGTGACAATTAAACCTTTAAATGTGAGGAACAGGAGGATCTTGGAGTGATGTCGTTGTTCATAGTGTTTCCTCCGGTCACGTGGCCGTGTGGCGCTACAGCAGAGAAAGCTACCTGGATGCTACAGAGTTAGCTAGTTTTAGACATTTGTAGAGAGGTTTTACTAAATCAAATGGTCCGTTTTTTCTAATTATTTCGGAAAAGAACAGCGAGAAACGGCCGAGGTAAAGTGGTAGCCCTTTTATGCTGTTACGGTAAACGTAGAACAGAAGGCGGGAGGATGAGGGGATAAAAATACATGAACAAATTTAAGTTTTGCAAATACTTTCACTGCAAACTTTTGATGTGCTTTACCGCGACGGCGAAATGCCGGGCCACTTTACCGCAGTGAAAAACGCAAGAAATGGATTTTCACCACGGACCCTTCTTGAGTGAAGGGTCCCGGGTTTTCTATGAAGTAAGAATAAATGTCTCTGAGTCCCAGTCCCAGCAGATCGGTGCCATCATCCCAGGTCTCATCTGGGCTTTGGGTTCGGAGAACTCTGCAGAGAAAGATTGTTTTTGTTTTGTTCAGTTCTTGCTCCAGACATTTCCAAAATCCTCGATGGTAGTTTTCCCAGAGGCTCTCACTTTGCTTGTGACAAACTACTTTTACAATTTAATCCCCTTTTGTTCTTCACATTCTCTCAAATCAAATGGAACATATTTGCTCTGGACAGTTTTTACAGATTGACTTTGAAAGATTCTAATTTCCACAACTTTCTTTTTATCCACTGTACAATGTGAAACCAATGAATGACGCTCGAGGTTCGATACGTCAAACTTTTACATTACAATAAAAGCTTGATATAGTTAAACTGTCTAAGAACTGTGTTGAGAGACATTAATTAACATTAATTAACAATAATAAACATGTATGGACACTGGTCATCCCGCTCCAATGGCTCATATGTATTAATATGTTTGTTATAATCCATTCTAATTTATTCTCTGATCTGTTGTTGAGGAATCGACAACTTTGTTCTTCGAGACAACAGCTGTTATGATTTAGGGAAGTAAAAAAATAAATGGCATTGAATTGAATAATAATGTTAATAATTGGCTCATAGTTTTTTATTTTATTTTGAAAAGCCAGTAGCTAAAGGCTCAGCTTACGTCTCTCTGCACGTCATGAGGCTATAGTATATATCAGCCATTCCCAAACTCAGTAACACCGAGGCCCCCTTAAAAATCTGACGGGTCTGAGTGGCCCCCCAAAATAATAACCAAGAAGACAACATTAAGAATAGGCTCTTCTGGTTATTTTATTTTGGGGAAATAGCCTCTGCTACAAACATTGTAATACAAAAATGATTACAGTGGATTATTCAAGTCAAATAATGAACACACATATTTTAATATTACAAACAAAACATTATAAATTTAACATTAAATAATTATATATATATATATATTTTTTTTTTATGACCTCCCGCGGCCCCCCTGCAGTACCCTCGCGGCCCACCAGGGGGCCGCGGACCCCACTTTGGGAGACACTGGTATATATTATAATGTTCTGAGTTTCCCCTTGGAACACCATGAACAACTCCAATATATAGATTATCAATGTATTCATTTATTCATTTAGACTGTCTTACAAACTCTTTTTCTGGCACAGGATCCTTACCTACTATTCCATCCCACCGGCTTTTTTCCCTCTGTTACTTTAGATTAAAAACTGAACAAGAATCCAGTCATTTGTAGCGTTTCCGTCCAATCAAAGTGGACAGAAGTGAAGAAGACGCAGGTGTAAGGTCCGTATTGATGAAGTGTTTCTGTTTGAGCAGAGAATCCCACGCTCAGGTAGGTGTGTGTGTGTGTGTGTGTGTGTGTGTGTGTGTGTGTGTGTGTGTGTGTGTGTGTGTGTGTGTGTGTGTGTGTGTGTGTGTGTGTGTGTGTGTGTGTGTGTGTGTGTGTGTGTGTGTGTGTGTGTGTGTGTGTGTGTGTGTGTGTGTGTGTGTGTGTGTGTGTGTGTGTGTGTGTGTGTGTGTGTGTGTGTGTGTGTGTGTGTGTGTGTGTGTGTGTAAAAGCCTGAGGAATGTGCCAATCAGTGGTCATGGAGCTGTTGTCTGCAGATTGGAGTCGGTGCATAAAGAGCCTCCAGTGTCGCACAAAGCCACTAATACTGGAAGTTTGGTGGAAAATTTTAAAAAGATTTAGTACGTTTGTTGTAGTTAATACAGCATTGGATTTGTCATCTGCCTTCAGCCCATCATTCAATGCCACTTACTACTAGGGTTGCCAACTTGAGAACAAAAAAATAAGGGACACCATTTGGGTGGATCGGTAGACTATTTTCAATCTACACAGTAATCATGAATTTCATAATCAGTTTTTAGAATGTAATTTATTGACTACATATAAAAAAAAAAAACAACTCCTTAGTCAAAAATGAAATTGAATATTGAGTACTTAATGCATTCTTATTACTAATAAAGAATATAAAAAAGGCAAATGCTGTAACTTACATTACAGTAAAGACCATTTACTGTAAAAGCAAATAAAAAAAGAAACACATTGTAACGTCCTGGCTCGAGGTAATGAATGAGACAGTGTTCTACTTGTTGCTTTAATACAAGATGGTTACTGTCGGCCGTAACCACGCCAATACAAGTCCACAACTTAGCAGAACAACAGCCCGTTCGCAGTCCCGGGTAAAAAGACCGCGTTATCAAAACAATCTTCTCTAACCCCCCCAGTAGGCCCCTCCATCCTCAGAACCAATCCTGTAAGTGCACTAAACCGTGAAGAATAACATGAAATAACAGCATTAACATAACATAAATGCAGGGTCGCTACACTGCCCCCTCCCCACTAAGTCCCTCGCCCCGAGGGATCACATAGAAAGTCTCTAAGGTGACTGGGGGCCCTTATCTCCCTACGGGGTCTCTTTGGGGTGACTGCTAACCTGGGAACAACATGCTTCGGAGCAGGGGGCATCTGTGTGTCAGTTGATGGGGAAACAGTCAATGTCTGGGGTCCGACTGTTTTGTCTCTCTGAGTGGATACAGGGCGTGACTGGGGATGTGCGTCACCCATGTATGGGGCTAACCTATCTCTGTGAAGGGCCACCCGTCTACCCCTAGGTGGGAGCTGCACCCTATACACCACCTCCCCAAGCTTCTCAAGTACCCTACAGGGCCCCACCCAGTGACAGTCCAGCTTAGGGCACCTCCCTTTTTTTCTCTTAGGGCTGAACACCCACACGAGGTCCTCAGGGTTAAAGTCTCTTCCTTTGGCCCTCATGTCGTAGTTTCTTTTCTGCCGGATCCCAGCCTTTTGCAGCTGGTCACGGGCAAACGCATGAGCTGTCTCCATCCGGTCCTGTAGCCTCCGAGCGTATTCCGGTCCTGGTGGGACAGCAGGAGTGTGTGGGGGTCTGCCAAAGCACATTTCTCTGGGTGTCCGCAGCTCTCGCCCCAACATGAGAAGAGCAGGTGTGCATGCTGTGGACTCCTGAACCGAAGACCTGTAGGCAAGCAGGACAAGGGGGAGGTGCATATCCCAATCCCGCTGGTGTTCTGCAGTGATGATCGCCAGTTGTTTTGCGAGTGTTCTGTTGAAACGCTCGACTAGCCCATCACTCTGAGGGTGTAGTGGGGTAGTACGTGTCTTTTGCGCTCCCATACGCTGACACATTGCAGAGAAAACGGCAGACTCAAAGTTTCTCCCCTGGTCGCTGTGGATAACTTCGGGTGCCCCAAACCTGGAAAACATTCCCTCCACCAGGGTGTCTGCCACCGTCACCGCTTCCTGATCCGGGATGGCAAATGCCTCTGGCCATTTAGTGAAATAGTCCATGGCAGCGAGTACATAACGATTCCCCTGGTCTGACCGGGGAAACGGACCCATTATGTCCACAGCCACTCTTTCCATAGGGGCCCCCACGGCCAACTGCTGAAGCTCGGCACGGGATTGACCTGGAGGGCCCTTATAAGCAGCGCACAGGTCGCAACGACGACAAAAGTCCTCTACATCCCTCCTGAGCTGGCCCCAGTAAAACCCTTGCCTGAGCCGTCTGAGAGTTTTTGAGACTCCAAAGTGTCCCGCCCCAGGAGTTCCGTGACAAGCCTTCAGAACTGGGTCTCTGAGTGCTCTGGGGACTACAGTTTGCCACCTTTCCTCCCCTGTAGCTGGCTCTTTCCACGCTCTTTGAAGTACTCTGTCTTTTATACGGAGGGTTGTAAACTTTTCAAACAGTCCTTTGGTGGCCAGCGAAAACCCAGCTACCTCACTCCACTGTGGTCTCTGTCCCGATTCAACCCACTGCAGCACAGGTTGCAGATCGGGATCCAGTTCCTGCTGAGCCCTCCACTCCAGTGGATCATGGAGCTCCGCCACTTCACAGATTGGCCCTTCCCCGCTGCACAAGGGACCCGCCTGCTCCTCAACACAGAGCTCCTGTTCCTTGGCCTCTCGTTTTTCACAATAGCGGCAGCCATCCAGAGCACATGGACGTCTGGACATGGCATCCGCGTTGGCATGGCGACTCCCAGCCCTGTACTCCACTTTGAAATTATATGGCGCAAGTTCTTCCAACCAGCGGGCAATCTGCCCTCTGGTTCTTTAAAGGACATTAACCATTGGAGTGCTGAGTGATCTGTTCTCACAGTAAAGGGGAGGCCACAGAGATAGTACCGGAAATGCCCTATCGCTCTCACAATAGCAAGCAACTCTCTCCGCGTCTCTGCAATAACGCCGCTCAGCCTTGTTGAAAGTTTTGCTAAAGTATGCCACTACTTTCTCCCCGTGTGATCCCACCTGGCTCAACACTGCACCCATCCCCGCATCGCTGGCGTCTGTGTCCATGACAAATGGCAGATTGGTATCTGGGGGGGTTAAGATGGGAGACTCCGTCAGTGCCTTTTTCAAAGTGCAAAAGGCCCGGTCGCACTCTGGGGTCCACACAAAGTCACAATTTTTCCGCTGTAGGGCAAACAGGGGTGCGGCGATGCAAGAGAAACCGCGCACGAATCGCCTGTAATATGATGCTAGTCCAATGAAACTCTTCAGTTCTCTGAGGTTAGTGGGGATTGGCCAGTCCCTGACAACCTGTACCTTTTCCTCCAGAGTGCTGATGCCTTCTCCACCAACCTTGTGCCCTAAAAACTCCAATTCCCTTCTCATGAAGCAGCATTTGTTGGGGTGGAGTTTCAGCCCGGCCTCCGCGATACCTTGCAGCACCTGCCGGAGAGAATCCAAAGCCCTCTCAAAAGAGCCGCCATGGACCAGAATGTCGTCCAAGTAAACGAGACATTCCTGACGGGGGACAGCAGCTAGCACTTTTTCCATCAACCTTTCAAAAGTGGCCGGGGCATTGCATAGCCCGAAGGGGAGGACCCTAAACTGCCACAATCCCCTGCCGGTGCAAAAAGCGGTCTTGGGTCTTGCATCGGGGCTCAGGGGGACCTGCCAGTATCCACTGCGCAGGTCTAATGATGAGAACCAGGAAGAGCCAGATACCATGTCCAAGGACTCATCAATACGTGGTAGCGGGTATGAGTCTTTCTTTGTTATGCTATTCAGCGGTCGATAGTCCACACAAAACCGCATTTTTTGATTATTTTTCTTGTTAACCATCACAACCCCCGAAGCCCAGGGACTATCTGACGGCTCGATAATACCAGCCGCGAGCATTTCGTCAATTGCGCTATCAGCAGCCGCTTGATGCGCCAGAGGGAGTCGGCGGGGGCGCGTTTTGATCGGGTGCGCATCTCCAGTGTCTATTTCGTGCTGCACCAAGTGTGTTAGACCCACCTCCTCTTCAGAAAGGGCAAAGATGTCTTTGTACTGCAGTAGCACTTGCCATAAAGCTTCCCGCTGACTGGTTTCCAAAGTGGTGCAGTTACGTTCCCAAATCTCTTTTACGGCCACACCCTGTCCATTTCTCTTACTGCAGGTAACTGTTCCAGTGCAGGAGGTAGAGCTGCCATTGCATGTTGCGGGTTGGTGGGTACTGGAGCAGAAAACTGGGGTAGTGGCACGTATTTCTGGTGCACCTCTGCTGCTTTAGACGCTGCTTGACTTTGGACATGTTCAGGGGGCACCATTTCAACTGAGGGGCTTCCCGGAAATGTCACAGTGTTACTGCCAAGATCGAGCACACAGTGAGCGGCCCTCAAAAAGTCAAGACCCAAAATACAGGGGTCCTTCACTGCAGCGACCCACACCCTAAAATCCACAGACATTTCCCCCACTTGTATAGTCACTAATCCCAGACGAAGCATAGGAGCGAGTTCACCAGTCACAGTCCGCAACTTTACAACAGTAGGTTCTAGTAATGTCCCAGGTGGCACCATGTCGGGTCTCATTAGTGTTGCGGTGGAACCCGTGTCAACCAGGGCTGTGCATGGGGCCCTGTTCAAAGTAACAGGAACATGACAAAAATTCCCAAAGTGCGTCCAGCCCACCACCCTCGAAGATTCGATGTCGCTGTCATCTGCTTCTGGGGGGAGTGGAGCCCCGCTCCCCCGACTGCGTCGTTGGGCCCCGTACACATGTGAAACGATAGGGTGGGACACAGGGGCGGGGGCCTGTGTGGTCCCTTTTACACAGACCCCGGAGCGTTTCCCTGACCGCCCGAGTTCTGGGGGCACCGCACACTGATATGGCCTGCCTGGCCACACGTCCAGCACACTGGAGGGCCACGGCGCGGGCGGGCACCGCCGCGTTGTGGTTGTAACGTCACAGCTCGGATCAGTTCTGTCAGCTCAGCAACCCAGGCAGGCCTCTCCTGACCTGGGTCCTCCCGCACTGCTGTCCTCACAATGGGGCCACTCTCAGACGCTGAACCTACGGCCTCTCTCTCTAGGGCGAGCTCCAGTGCCTCCTGCAGGGATCTAGGATGTGCCAGCTGTGTCTGTGCGCGAAGTTCTCTGGGAGCCAGGGCACGAATGAACTGGTCCCTGGCCAGCTCACTCTGTACTTCAGGGGGCATATGGGCGTAAGCTCGTCTTGTCAGGGTCTCAATATCGTTAGCCAACCCCCTGAGTGGCTCGCCTGTCAACCTCTGTCGGCTAGCCAGCTCTGAGCGCAGGACATCGGGTTGGCTACATTGTCCAAAACGCCTCCGGAGGGCCCCAACCAAAGCCCCATAATCATCTCTCTCAGCTGGGCTTAACAGCAATAAGCATGACAGGGCATCATCAGTAAGGCACAGAGCCAGCTGGAGTGCTTTTACTTTTACAGACCAGCCAGCTGCCCCAGCCAACAGTTCAAATTGGGCATAGAAGGCCTCCCAGTCTGCTTTCCCTGAATATTTCGGAGTCTTAACTTGCAGTCGTTCCCTGCCTCCATTTTCGTCTGAATTTGGTGACCTGTCAATCATGGCGGGCGGGGCTTGTCCTCTGGCGCTCCCACCGCTGAAACCCGCCTCCGCTGCCATCTCCGCGGCTACCCGTCTTATATGAGCAGAGTGCTCAGAACGTCGACTTTGTTCCATATCGTGCCTCCGGGACTGGGTCTCAAAGTCACTGTCCATCACCTCCTTCTTGATTTTCGGGTGAGCACCGGACTTCCCCAATGGCATCGACATATCAAACGGGCGGACGAGCAGACCCCGACACAAGCTAGGAGCGATCACCGGGCTTCGGAGACGAACTCGGGCTTTTTACTTCTGACACCAGTGTAACGTCCTGGCTCGAGGTAATGAATGAGACAGTGTTCTACTTGTTGCTTTAATACAAGATGGTTACTGTCGGCCGTAACCACGCCAATACAAGTCCACAACTTAGCAGAACAACAGCCCGTTCGCAGTCCCGGGTAAAAAGACCGCGTTATCAAAACAATCTTCTCTAACCCCCCCAGTAGGCCCCTCCATCCTCAGAACCAATCCTGTAAGTGCACTAAACCGTGAAGAATAACATGAAATAACAGCATTAACATAACATAAATGCAGGGTCGCTACAATATGTATTTATGAAAAAAACTCACAAATGTTGAAATCAAAGCCTGTAGCAGTTAGACATGGTCATTATTTATATTGCCTGAGAGTTTAGTGCGTGTACATGGCTTCAGTAAACGCTATTGTTCGTTTACAGCTGGTCTGTACATTTGTTGACGCTTCCTTAGTGCTTTTTTTGGCGCTTGCAGTGCATTGGATTCAATGGATTTCTCTGCATTAAAACAGCGCACTGGATTTGAAAAAAACAACGTAAAGATGATCATTTTAGCACAGTGACTTTTTTTTAACAAAGTAGCTTTTGTGAACTATTGACTGCGGAAGTCCGACTCTGGGAATATGACGCTACTTTACCAAACTTCTGCTGTGATGATGCTGCGGGAGCGGCCCACGCTGGCGATTGTCAACATTAAACCAATGTATGTGATCAAGTCTACGCCCCTTTGACACTGATTGGCCGAAAGGTAGACGCTTAAACTGTGATTACTTTGTGTGCGTGTGTCAAGCGTATACAGTCTATGGTCGCGCGTGTGACATGCAGTGAGTGATGCATTCAAGGTGGCTCTGAAAATACGGGACAAAAGCCGTCCCGTATCGATTCAATACGGGACGCACATAGTGTTTCTATAATACGGGACAATTCCGTATTTCAAGGGACGGTTGGCAACCCTACTTATTACATACACAAAAAATGCATGTATGAGGCAAAAGTGTGTGAATCGAGTTGTTTTTATCGTAATTTGAGCACATTCTGACTGTGATAAAACAAGATTAGCCAATGGGACAAAGTCGTCTAGTCCTAATTCAAGAACTGTTGCTTTATTTTCTCATTCCAAGGGAGACATTTCTTTTATATCTGACATATCTTGGTTTAAGGCAGTCAGAATGTGCTAAAATTAAATAGATATGTTATATAGATATATTTAGCCAAATTTGAGCAATTTTTGACTTATCTTTTATCACTTTTTGCAGTGTAGACCTTATGATGGAATAAGAATAGAGAAAACAGATTTGATTTTGTGGAGAGCCCTTGTACAGAGTGACCCTCCCCACTCCCTCTGGTCTGTGTGGTCTCTTGGTTAGTTGTGGTTAATCTGTGACTATGTCTTTTAATGTTTGTTTATGTATGTGCTGATCGTTGGGACTTTATTTTCTTTTATATACATAAAAACCAAATATTGTTCCAACAGAAGTTTGAAACACACTTATGCCGTGGTCAGTGAGACTCCCAAAGCAAACTACACATTGATAAATACCGTCTGAACCTCATTACAAGTTCCGTATCCCTCCGCCTGAGCCGTCACCATAGCAACATATACAGATTGGGCACAAACGTTTTTGTTATGACAAAACACACTTATATAGGTGTGGAATAATGTGTGTGCTTCGTTGTGTGTTTTCATTTTGGTCATGGCAACGGTTGCTAAGGAGCTTAAAGCTGGCTCTTGGTTCATCAAGTAGTCCCTTTCCTCAAATAGTTGGTTGTTTTGGAGGGTAGAGGAGAAACTATATATATTTTCTAATCAGTGATGTAAGTAAGTAAGTTTTTATTTATATACCGCCTTTTAATTGCAGATCTGAGTCTCAAAGCAGTTTACAATTGTTATTTTTGGGCACTTGTCTCTCACTCCACACAGAGATGGGAGGGGCCAGTACAGGAGGCACATGCCAGAACTATTGGACATATTTTTAGTGGTAGGGGAAACCGGAGTACCCGGAGGAAACCTACGCAGACACGGGGAGAACATGCAAACTCCACTCAGAAAGGCCCTGGTCCGACCGGGATTCGAACCCAGGACCTTCTTGCTGAGAGGCGAGAGTGCTATCCACTCAGCCACCGTGCCGCCCCTGCCGTGATGTGTGTGTGTGTGTGTGTGTGTCTGTGTGTGTTTGTTTTGACCATGGTACAAGCAGACGGAACAACTCGGAGAAGTGAGGTTGTATGGTTAATGCCGAGTTTATTTTTTTCAAAACCTTATTTATAAGTGTGGACCTCCAGTGTGTGTGTGTGGAGGGGCCGGTACCTGGGGCAGAGCCAGGCCCAGGGCGAGGGCTCCCACCAGCAGCAGGTGGGTCTCCATCCACAGCACGGCCCGGTCCGCGCAGCCCACCGGGTAAATGGATTTATTGGCCTCCACGAACTTTTGGGTCTGGACCCCGAAGCCGCACATGGTGTTGACCACAGCCTGGAGAGAAGTCAGTTTGAGCCAAATTCTGTGAGATAATTTAATACACTGAATTTAACTCTTGGTGTTGTGGTAAGATTACGCCACCACCAAAACAAACACCAAGATCCAGATTCTCCGACGGGACAAAGCCATTGGTCTTATTTCATGAACTGTTGCTTTATTTTCTCATTCCAAGAGAGACATTTCTTTTATCTTTTCAAAACAAGATCATTTTGGTAAATCTTGTTTTAAGGCAGTCAGAATGTGCTAAAATTGAGACACATTTTGCACCATTTTAGCAATTTTTGACTTATTTCTGCTTCAATCTCTTCTACTTTTCCATTTGAGTAGTTTATTTACATTTACACACTTTAGCACTTTTTTGGTGTCATTTTTTCCATAGGTTTGGAATTCCTTATTGTGTTCCTTATTGTGACAATAACTGTCTTTTACTCTATTACTCTAAGTACATTTTTATGGGTATTTAAATACTTTTGCCTGGATGGATTTTTTTGTCTGATTTTGTTGTTGTTGAATATTTGTTTTGCTCCTGTTTCTGGACTTTAAGACAAGAAACCAAATCTGGTTCTTCTTCCTCCAACACTGATCAAATATGAGGCAGTAAAGTAGTTTTCTAATCCTTCAAGTAAATGTTGAGTGAAAACGAGATTCACAAATGGAACAAACGAGTCTCGTTTTCAAGGCCGAGAGTAACTGTTTTCTGTTAGAATCTGGCTTCTCTCGTTTGCATATGCTGTTTTAAGACCAACACAATTTTGTAAAACCAAGAAAAATGAAACCTTTTTACTTATTTTTTAGAAAACGTTGGTCTTTTTGTTGTTGTGAGATTGTTCAGGTTTTGAAATAAACCATTGATTCATTCATTTGCAGAGTTCCCAATGATGCACAAAGTCTAAATGTGTTCGTTCATTTACATTTGTTAGTTATTTTTTGGCCTTGGTAACAGGAAGTCACAAACTGGGACTTTTATTTATATATTTTATCTTTAATTCAGACAAACACAAAAACAGACAACAATAATACGGACAAACAAACACACAAACACACAATACTTAATTTTCTTTGGTGCAATTCCTCTTCCTCACCACAGTGGGGCGACTGCGGCTACAAATACTAAACTCTTGTTGTGTCCTTAGGCAAGACACTTCTCCCACATTGTCTAAAATGAGTCTGAGGTGTGTGTGAATTTCACATATCTCCTGTCAATGTGCCTCAGGGCAGCTGTGGCTATAGTAGTAGTTTGTCCCCACCATGTATGGAGTGAATACATCAAAGCCTCATGAATAAAACCAATGCATTACTATTCATCATTACTGTAGTTTTAGTTCTTTTCGTCTTGTTTTGTGTGACCCCCCCCTGCTATAGACACAAGAACAAAACTCGCCCCATTCCGAGTCCATTTGAAGTGCAAAAACCCTCTGATGCAATGGCTCTCCGCTAACAGCAGGAAGCAGCACTGCTCCCGTTCTCTCTGCTGATTAATTAATTGATTTGTCTCTCATCCGCGTGGAAGAAAAGTTGCTGTGATCTTCCGCCTTGTAGCATAACGCAGAATCAATATTAGCGCTTTTCCTCCGGGAGCGGGAGGACACGTCTGCGGTGACCTGCATAGCTCCACGCAGCCACTCTGTCTCCTCCGTGAGCACAATGTGTGAGCTCAGCGTTCCCAGCCCGATGCCATTTACATACTAAACATGTTCTTGCTTATCTGTTGTCGCCGTGCACGGACTGCTGGCTGCATATCATCAATGTCACATCCAGAGAATATTGCATAGGTAAAATGGCAGCACTTTTGTGGGCGGGGGGAGACTCTGTAAGCCAAATTAAACCTTTGCGAGATTGAGGTTTTAACTGGAAACTGTGGCGTTTTCCGATGCCACATGATAGATATTTGTACAATTATGCATTCTGTTTGGCTTCAGCGGCCGGCTTTGACATTGGTGAGTGAGTAATGACTATGTTTACTGGAATGGGATGTGGAACTGCTCCTAATAACTGCAGGTTTTAAGACCTTAGATAGATGCACGGTATAAAGGAGACAGAAAATGATAGAGGCCAAAGAAAATGGTAGAAGTTTGAACTTTGACACATGGAGATTACACAGCCTCATTCCTATGACTTTGGGAATGTGAACATATATGAATATACTTTATGTATTGAAAATGATCCACGACTCTTGACATTCAACATCTTTATGGACTATTATGGACATTGGTCTCTGCTCCTTATGGACCAATGGCTCTATGTGTTTTCTGTAATTGTATTTCTTGTGTTGATTCTCTGATCTGTGTTTGCAAATGTCACAGTTTTATAAAATCCTCTGAGATAACTACAGTTGTAACTTAAACAAAAAAACACATTGAATTGAATTAAATTAGTAAGTGATTTCTTTTTTCCATTAGGGTGACCGCTCGTTTCTCATATAAGGAAACTGTACATGTTAAAGAATTCATTATTGAACGCTTGAAATTGATCCATCAATGTGGACCTTTTTAGATCCTATTGCTGCTACTAAAACAAGTGGAGCTCTGATCACGAGGGCGAGATGAGCATCAGCAGCTATCAGAGTTCAGAGAAATATTATATGAATACATGTCCAAGTGATGTGTGTGTGTGTGTGTATATATATATATATATATATATATATATGTGTGTATAAAACCCTTTTTCACTGTGGTCTGCACAGCAAAAAATGATGTAAAATAATATAATTTAGCAAAAAGTATCTGAAATGTGAACACATCTTGACTGCCTTAACACAAGGTCTGCTAATGGGACAAAGCAAAATGATCTTGTTTTAAAAAGATCCAAAAACGTCTCCCTTGGAATGAGAAAATAAAGAATGCACTCAAATGAAGATAAAAAGACACTTGATTTGATCATGTTTTGCAGTGTGTGCCACGGGGCCGTTCAAGTCAACAATTACGATGATCAAATTATGATTAGAACAGTTATGTTTGTGTTTTTCTTGGCTCATGGAGATCGACCTTCGCCACAGAAAAGATTTCAAAGGGATGTTTTTGAGCACAATGAAGCGTGTTGAACCTTCCTCTGAATGATATCGTTTATAAAATAGCTTTTTCTGGACAATAACTGTGCTTTATGGTAAAAAGAAGCTAAACATGTTACTTTTTATAAACCGCAGCCATTTATTCTCGTCGATTGCACATAATTCTCGACGTTATCTCCCGAAGCGACATCGCCTGATCTTATATGGTTTACTTTTATTCCTTTGGGCCCCAAAAGAAGGTGAAGCCGAGTCCGTTTGCAGAGATGGCTCCTGCTCCAGTTTCTATTGATTTGTCCTTGTTTGATGTAGACTTTAACACTTATTATTTCTCTATCTTCTTCTTTTCTCTTGTTTAAGGGCCTTATTATTGTCCCCTCTCAGACAAAGTCATAAATACTTTCGACGTGGCCCTCATACTTCAGCCTTTAAATCAACCACGTAATTGGACTTGTTTACCTTACACTGCAAAAAAGGATCAAATATGAGGTAATAGTTGCTTAAATCTAGTGTTTTTCTCTTCATTTGAGTTCATTCTGTCTTTGTTTTCTCATTCCAAGCAAGACTTTTCTTGTATCTTTTTAAAGCAAGATCATTTTGCTTTGTCTCATTAGATAATCTTGTTTTAAAGATGCAGTCAGTGATTTGTTCCAGACACATTTTTTTGTGTCATGTCTATAGTCTCCAAAAATTAATAACAAATATTTTGGAGCGGACCGATAAAAACAAACCAATGGGATTCGTTCATCTCCAACGAACCAATGGGATGTGTTCACCGCCTTCACCCTCTTCCTGTTTCTCTGAGTGCACCGGAGTTATCGGATTTTCTAAAACCTAAAATGGCTGAATAGAAAATGCCAATTTTTGGGGGAGTGGCACTACGGCTAAGCTAACAACATCGGTACCTTTAATGCAGTCAAATTGTGCTCAAACCACTTTTTGCAGTGTCGCAGCAGAAATCTTTTGGGGAAAATCTTTTATTTATTTTATTTCACAAATAAGCTGGGAGCCTCAGTGAGAAGTCCCTGCCTGCTTTTATGTTGCAGTCATTTCCACTGGGTCCTTATGCATGTGTCGGTGTTGTATAGAAAGTACACTTGCCTCCCCAGGTACAGGTGTGCAGCAGGAGTAAGGCACGGCACATCGCTCCGAGCTCGGGTTTTCACTCGAGCAATTAAAGTAGAGGTTCCAGGACCAGTCCGAGTAGTTATTCCATCCGCAGCACTTGAACTGTAATGGGGGAGAAGGCACATGGTGTATTTTTAGAATCCTAGCCTTGGACTGTGCTACACTATACATCCTGTAAGACCAGACCACTCCCAGGGGATCGGCCTCGTGCGGATCTTCGGTGCGAGTGTGGGATTCTTAGGTGTTCTTCCTGGCGCAGAGGAGAAGACTGTATGTTACATGAGGCGGTCGTGATGAAATCCAAAACGCCTCGTGTGCAAGGTGTTGTGGCAGATGTATACAGGATTTTTAAAAATGAATTACAAACAAACAAAACATGGAGGGAGACGGAGAAGTCTCATGCTCGTATTTTCATAATAAACGTGTTGGCAATCTCTCATGTGAAATCAGTGTTAGCGATATATATACTTCTGGCTGCTTTATTATGCTTAAGCTAGAGATTTTAGATTCCCACTGATGAACAAAGGATCTCTTAAATGTATGAGTTTGCAGAAAATAAGTGGCACGGTGGCTGAGTGGATAGCACTCTCGCCTCTCAGCAAGAAGGTCCTGGGTTCGAATCCCGGTTGGACCAGGGCCTTTCTGAGTGGAGTTTGCATGTTCTCCCCGTGTCTGCGTAGGTTTCCTCCGGGTGCTCCGGTTTCCCCTACCACTAAAAATATGTACAATAGGTCTGGCATGTGCCTCCTGTACTGGCACCCCCACTCCCAAAAATCACAATTGTAAACCGCTTTGAGACTCCAATGTGCAGTGAAAAGGCGGTATATAAATAACTAATACTAATACTAATACTAATAACCAAATCCATATATTTTCTATCAAAGTAGGAAGTACAGTGCCTTGCGAAAGTATTCGGCCCCCTTGAACCTTTCAACATTTCGCCACATTTCAGGCTTCAAACATAAAGATATAAAATTTAAATTTTTTGTCATGAATCAAGTGGAAGTGGGACACAATCGTAAAGTGGAACGAAATTTATTGGATAATTTAAACTTTTTTAACAAATAAAAAACTGAAAAGTGGGGCGTGCAATATTATTGGGCCCCTTTACTTTCAGTGCAGCAAACTCAGTCCAGAAGTTCAGTGAGGATCTTTGAATGATCCAATGTTGTCCTAAATGACTGATGATGATAAATAGAATGCACCTGTGTGTAATCAAGTCTCCGTATAAATGCACCTGCTCTTTGATAGTCTCAGGGTTCTGTTTAAAGCACAGAGAGAACCATGAAGACAAAGGAACACACCAGGCAGGTCCGAGATACTGTTGTGGAGAAGTTTAAAGCCGGATTTGGATACAAAAAGATTTCCCAAGCTTTAAACATCTCAAGGAGCACTGTGCAAGCAATTATATTGAAATGGAAGGAGTATCAAACCACTGCAAATCTACCAAGACCCGGCCGTCCCTCCAAACTTTCATCTCAAACAAGGAGAAGACTGATCAGAGATGCAGCCAAGAGGCCCATGATCACTCTGGATGAACTGCAGATAACTACAGCTGAGGTGGGAGAGTCTGTCCATAGGACAACAATCAGTCGTGCACTGCACAAATCTGGCCTTTATGGAAGAGTGGCCATTTCTCAAAGATATCCATAAAAAGTCTCTTAAAGTTTGCCACAAGCCACCTGGGAGACACACCAAACATGTGGAAGAAGGTGCTCTGGTCAGATGAAACCAAAATCGAACTTTTTGGACACAATGCAAAACGATACGTTTGGCGTAAAAGCAACACAGCTCATCACCCTGAACACACCATCCCCACCTCAGCTGTAGTTATCTGCACTTCATCCAGAGTGATCATGGGCCTCTTGGCTGCATCTCTGATGAAGGAGCACGAAGGAGAGCACGTTGGCGAGCACATTGGCGAGCACATTGGCGAGCACGAAGGCGAGCACGAAGGAGAGCACGAAGGCGAGCACGTTGGCGAGCACATTGGCGAGCACGAAGGAGAGCACGAAGGCGAGCACGAAGGAGAGCACGAAGGCGAGCACGAAGGAGAGCACGAAGGCGAGCATGTTGGCGAGCACGTTGGCGAGCACAAAGGAGAGCACGAAGGCGAGCACAAAGGAGAGCACGAAGGCGAGCACGAAGGCGAGCACGAAGGCGAGCACGTTGGCGAGCACGTTGGCGAGCACGAAGGCGAGCACGAAGGAGAGCACGTTGGCGAGCACGTTGGCGAGCACGTTGGCGAGCACGAAGGCGAGCACGTTGGCGAGCACGAAGGCGAGCACGAAGGAGAGCACGTTGGCGAGCACAAAGGAGAGCACGTTGGCGAGCACGTTGGCGAGCACGAAGGCGAGCACGAAGGCGAGCACGTTGGCGAGCACGTTGGCGAGCACGAAGGCGAGCACGTTGGCGAGCACGTTGGCGAGCACGTTGGCGAGCACGTTGGCGAGCACGTTGGCGAGCACGTTGGCGAGCACGAAGCCGAGTACGTTGGCGAGCACGTTGGCGAGCACGTTGGCGAGCACGAAGCCAAACGTGGTCATAATGTAGCCAGGACCATTCTCTGCTTGTTGCAAAGTGTGTGTCTTTTCAAATACATCAAGAACCAGAGCTGGACTGGAGCCTTAAGGGAGTGTCCATGTCCTCCCTGTGTCTCTAAAATAAAGCTGCAACCTACAATAAACCTACATTGTTCTCTGTTGGCCTTTGAGCCTGAAGGGAGTGTCCATGTCCCCCCTGTGTCTCTAGAATAAAGCTGTGGTACCTACATTGTTCTCTGGAGTTTGCATGTTCTTCCTGTGCTTGCTCCGGTTATCCCCTCCATACACATGTAGTTTAGGGTGAATGAGTGAATGTTTTTGGGTGCTACTGTGGGACAAGGAATGCTAAATGAGTCCAAAGCTACAATTCAGAGATGTGTGTTCATTAGTATGCACTGTCCCAACCAAAGAAACAATAAATGTATAAGTTAAAGGCTCAATAAAGTAAAGTTAGTCTCCTTTAATAGCAGAAGTTATTGCTTTGCCTCGAATGTTTTAGCATAACATCTTCAATCTCCAAGCTGCAGATCCACAGGAAGAGCAAATATCATATTCAAAGATGGACTTTTTGAGCCATGATAATGACATACATGTAAAACCGTGAATATACAGTAATTTGCGAAAGTATTGAACCTTTTAACATTTCACCCCATTTCAGGCTTCAAACATAAAGATATAAAATGTTAATTTTTTGTCATGAATCAACAACAAGTGGGACACAATCGTGAAGTGGAACGAAATTTATTGGATAATTTAAACTTTTTTAACAAATAAAAAACTGAAAAGTGGGGCGTGCAATATTATTGGGCCCCTTTACTTTCAGTGCAGCAAACTCAGTCCAGAAGTTCAGTGAGGATCTTTGAATGATCCAATGTTGTCCTAAATGACTGATGATGATAAATAGAATGCACCTGTGTGTAATCAAGTCTCTGTATAAATGCACCTGCTCTTTGATAGTCTCAGGGTTCTGTTTAAAGCACAGAGAGAACCATGAAGACAAAGGAACACACCAGGCAGGTCCGAGATACTGTTGTGGAGAAGTTTAAAGCCGCATTTGGATACAAAAAGATTTCCCAAGCTTTAAACATCTCAAGGAGCACTGTGCAAGCAATTATATTGAAATGGAAGGAGTATCAGACCACTGCAAATCTACCAAGACCCGGCCGTCCCTCCAAACTTTCATCTCAAACAAGGAGAAGACTGATCAGAGATGCAGCCAAGAGGCCCATGATCACTCTGGATGAAGTGCAGATAACTACAGCTGAGGTGGGAGAGTCTGTCCATACAACAATCAGTCGTGCACTGCACAAATCTGGCCTTTATGGAAGAGTGGCAAGAAGAAAACCATTTCTCAAAGATATCCATAAAAAGTCTGGTTTAAAGTTTGCCACAAGCCACCTGGGAGACACACCAAACATGTGGAAGAAGGTGCTCGGTCAGATGAAACCAAAATCAAACTTTTTGGCCACAATGCAAAACGATATGTTTGGCGTAAAAACAACACAGCTCATCACCCTGAACACACCATCCCCACTGTCAAACATGGTGGTGGCAGCATCATGCTTTGGGCCTGCTTTTCTTCAGCAGGGACAGGGAAGATGGCTAAAATTGATGGGAAGATGCATGGAGCCAAATACAGGACCATTCTGGAAGAAAACCTGTTGGAGTCTGCAAAAGACCTGAGACTGGGACGGAGATTTATCTTCCAACAGGACAATGATCCAAAACATAAAGCCAAATCTACAATGGAATGGTTCACAAATAGACGTATCCAGGTGTTAGAATGGCCAAGTCAAAGTCCAGACCTGAATCCAATCGAGAATCTGTGGAAAGAGCTGAAGACTGCTGTTCACAAACGCTCTCCATCCAACCTCACTGAGCTCCAGCTGTTTTGCAAGGAAGAATGGGCAAGAATTCCAGTCTCTCGATGTGCAAAACTGATACATACCCCAAGCGACTTGCAGCTGTAATTGCAGCAAAAGGTGGCGCTACAAAGTATCAGCGCAAGGGGCCGAATAATATTGCACGCCCCACTTTTCAGTTTTTTATTTGTTAAAAAAGTTTAAATTATCCAATAAATTTTGTTCCACTTCACGATTGTGTCCCACTTGTTGTTGATTCTTGACAAAAAAAATATTTTTTATATCTTTATGTTTGAAGCCTGAAATGTGGCGAAATGTTGAAAGGTTCAAGGGGGGAGAATACTTTCGCAAGGCACTGTACAGTAATTTGCTTCACAACATTCCAGGCAGAGCAGAGTCATTTCATGGAGAGAAGCAGGTAGTCACCCCCCACAAGAGGAGCTCAGGCTGCAGCTCTCAGGCACAAATGTGAGAGACTTTGGTCCAGACTTTGGTCCAGACTTTGGTCCAGACTTTGGTCCAGACTTTGGTCCAGACTTTGGTCCAGACTTTGGTCCAGACTTTGGTCCAGACTGTGGTCCAGAGTGCGGTACCTCCTTTTGAATGTAATCCATCAGGTTCTGCAGATCCAGGTCATCGCGGTAGTGCACGATGGCCTTCTTCACAAACTCCCCTAAAGCATCTCTGGTCTGCAAACAAGGACAGAGCAGTTGTATTAAAACATGTAGCCCCGGGCCCAGGCACACGCTGTTGTTCAAAAGGATGTAAACAGTTATTCCTCTGAGGCCGGACTCTTCCTCAGCTCACCTCTTTTTCATTATTTACTCATAAACATAAAGCTTCTCTAGGCCATGTTCACACAAGCGAGTGAGGCGCGACTATTCATTAAATCACTCGTGGCCAAGAGTACTTACATACTGTTCTATAAACCAGAACTCTCCCAGGACCTACCAATAGCTCGCCAACCCCTTTCAGGTAGCTCCCCAAAGGATTCGGGGATTTAACACATGATCACAATAATCATCATAATAATAATAATAATAATAATAATAATAATAATAATAATAATAATAATAATAGTAGTAATATGAGGGATAGTGGGTATGAGGGACCTTTAAAGTGGTTCTCACCCTCGCTCCTCGGAGCTTACGTCACTCATATTTCCTGTTCAAATCTTCCTCTAAATGGGCGTGGCCTGGAGGACTAAAGGGGGCGTGAACGAGACTGGGCCGTTAATATAGCTCTGGGCGGGGGGTTGCTGACGTCAGGTCTTGCTTCAGACGTCAGGTCCTGCTTCAGACGTCAGGTCTTGCTTCAGACGTCAGGTCTTGCTTCAGACGTCAGGTCTTGCTTCAGACGTCAGGTCTTGCTTCAGACGTCAGGTCTTGCTTCAGACGTCAGGTCTTGCTTCAGACGTCAGGTCTTGCTTCAGACGTCAGGTCCTGCTTCAGACGTCAGGTCTTGCTTCAGACGTCAGGTCTTGCTTCAGACGTCAGGTCTTGCTTCAGACGTCAGGTCTTGCTTCAGACGTCAGGTCTTGCTTCAGACGTCAGGTCTTGCTGCAGACGTCAGGTCTTGCTTCAGACGTCAGGTCTTGCTTCAGACGTCAGGCTTGCTTCAGACGTCAGGTCTTGCTTCAGACGTCAGGTCTTGCTTCAGACGTCAGGTCTTGCTTCAGACGTCAGGTCTTGCTTCAGACGTCAGGTCTTGCTTCAGACGTCAGGTCCTGCTTCAGACGTCAGGTCTTGCTTCAGACGTCAGGTCTTGCTTCAGACGTCAGGTCTTGCTTCAGACGTCAGGTCTTGCTTCAGACGTCAGGTCTTGCTTCAGACGTCAGGTCTTGCTTCAGACGTCAGGTCTTGCTGCAGACGTCAGGTCTTGCTTCAGACGTCAGGTCTTGCTTCAGACGTCAGGTCTTGCTTCAGACGTCAGGTCTTGCTTCAGACGTCAGGTCTTGCTTCAGACGTCAGGTCTTGCTTCAGACGTCAGGTCTTGCTTCAGACGTCAGGTCTTGCTGCAGACGTCAGGTCTTGCTTCAGACGTCAGGTCTTGCTTCAGACGTCAGGTCTTGCTTCAGACGTCAGGTCTTGCTGCAGACGTCAGGTCTTGCTTCAGACGTCAGGTCTTGCTTCAGACGTCAGGTCTTACTTCAGACGTCAGGTCTTGCTGCAGACGTCAGGTCTTGCTTCAGACGTCAGGTCTTGCTTCAGACGTCAGGTCTTGCTTCAGACGTCAGGTCTTGCTTCAGACGTCAGGTCTTGCTTCAGACGTCAGGTCTTGCTTCAGACGTCAGGTCTTGCTTCAGACGTCAGGTCTTGCTTCAGACGTCAGGTCTTGCTGCAGACGTCAGGTCTTGCTTCAGACGTCAGGTCTTGCTTCAGACGTCAGGTCTTGCTTCAGACGTCAGGTCTTGCTTCAGACGTCAGGTCTTGCTGCAGACGTCAGGTCTTGCTTCAGACGTCAGGTCTTGCTTCAGACGTCAGGTCTCGCTTCAGACGTCAGGTCTTGCTTCAGACGTCAGGTCTTGCTTCAGACGTCAGGTCTTGCTGCAGACGTCAGGTCTTGCTGCCGCGCCAGTGTTGGCGCCAGATTCAAAATTCAAATGTAGTAATACAGGTCGCCAGCAGATGGCGCCTCACAGACGGTTTTAGGCAGAAAGTTTAACTTTCAACTAATTTGCACCAAAGTGACAAAATTATGACCAGGATATGTAGACAACACTATTGGACACTCATTTAAATCGTTTATCAGCAAAAAGAAGTGGATTTGAGGGTGAGTTGTCCTTTAAGTAAAGAAATGTGTGTGACATTCGTTACTTATTTTGTTTGAACTTATTTACATTTATTTTTCTTGATCAACTGTAATTTCTCCTTTTTCACAAACTATTTTTTATTTGTTCATTTTCTGTTTCTATTTTATAATTAGAAAATTAATCGAAGAAAAAACAAATATACACTGTATCTGTTCACCACTACACAACTGTTCACCACTACACAACTGTTCACCACTACACAACTACTCACCACTACACAACTGTTCACCACTACACAACTACTCACCACTACACAACTGTTCACCACTACACAACTGTTCACCACTACACAACTACTCACCACTACACAACTGTTCACCACTACACAACTACTCACCACTACACAACTGTTCACCACTACACAACTACTCACCAGTACACAACTACTCACCAGTACACAACTACTCACCAGTACACAACTACTCACCAGTACACAACTGTTCACCACTACACAAATGTTCACCACTACACAACTGTTCACCACTACACAACTACTCACCACTACACAACTACTCACCAGTACACAACTGTTCACCACTACACAACTACTCACCACTACACAACTACTCACCAGTACACAACTGTTCACCACTACACAACTGTTCACCACTACACAACTGTTCACCACTACACAACTACTCACCACTACACAACTACTCACCACTACACAACTACTCACCACTACACAACTACTCACCACTACACAACTACTCACTACTACACAACTACTCACCACTACACAACTACTCACCAGTACACAACTACTCACCACTACACAGTGCGGCACGGTGGCTGAGTGGTTAGCACTCTCGCCTCTCAGCAAGAAGGTCCTGGGTTCGAATCGGTCGGACCAGGGCCTTTCTGAGTGGAGTTTGCATGTTCTCCCCGTGTCTGCGTAGGTTTCCTCCGGGTACTCCGGTTTCCCCTACCACTAAAAATATGTCCAATAGTTCTAGCATGCGCCTCCTGTACTGGCGACCCCGCTCCCATCTCTGTGTGGAGTGAGAGACAAATGCCCAAAAATAACAATTGTAAACCGCTTTGAGACTCAGATCTGCAGTGAAAAGGCGGTATATAAATAAAGATTACTAAAGATTACTACTACTACACAACAATTCACCGCAACACAACTACTCACCACTACACAACCATTAGAACACACACATGCTCCTGCTACACAACCGCTGACATCGCTGCGAGCTCCGTTCCCGTCGCTAAATGATTCAAAAGCTGCTGCGCCTCAAAGTGGAGCCAAATGTTCAATTTCAGCCTTTAGGGAAAATCGTCGCTAATGACACAGCGAGGTGTGACGAAAGCCGAGCCCACGAGCCAAACTCCACCACAACAACACAACAAATCAACAACACAACAACATAACACAATATTATAACTCCAAGTGTAAAACTATGGTGACAGTGTTTAACCGGAGCACAGGTGTAAGTCCGACCAAACGCCTGCAGCTAAATGCTAGGGTTCATTTAGAGCCTAATGCAATTTCAGAGTTGCGCCGCTCACATGCATAGCCAGGCTCATTAGCATACATTAGGGTTTGAATGGAGACCGCAGCCCCACTTGTGTTGGAGAATATTAAACTGATTTGCATCAAACAAACCCTCTCTCAATGCAGCTCTGTTGTTGTTTGTTTTTGTTGTTGTTAAGAATAGAGAAAGGCCGATATTAACACAATACAAAGAGCCATAAGTTCGACAAAGGTGTGCGATTGTACAGACAAAAGAGAGGGAAGGGAAACCTGGCAATAACAGAGCTGGGGAACAGAAGGCCGGGCTGGAATCGCCGTTGCGCACGTTCAATCACAACATCGCTTTTCATTTATATTTCTTCGGGGCTTTTGTTTATGTGGCTCGATTAGAGACGATGGAAATTGCCCCCATTATAATAACAAATGGTTGGAGTAATTATTGGCTGCAGCGCTTTCAAATAAACCTGCGTGTGATTTGGGTATTGATCCTACAGGCGTTTACTATTATGCTATTATTACGGCACGAGAGCACAGCGTTAGGACCCCCTCTCCCCCAACCCCAGCCCGCCCCCCATACATCTGCTCTTCAAAATAGTAAGCAAACAGACCTGAGATGCACTGCTATTATTAAATCCTTTATTGCCTGTGTGGTACATCATTCCAGCGTGATTTTAGATCAGGCCTGTAAATGCAGCTCGCAGTAACGGCCAACACATTTGTTAAAAAAAGCAAAAAGACAGCGCGGTCCAGAGATAACGGCTTGATCATCAGGAGGCCGGGTGCTGCAGCCCTGACCTGGAAAGACCAAAGTAAAGCAACATGGTGGAGAATTCAGAAAATGTCAGCTCCAGGTTTCCTCAATGAAAACCCACACTGCAAAAAGTTATGAAAAATAAATAAAAAAATGCTCAAATTTGACCAAATGCAAAAGAATTTGTGCACGTTTTGACAAAGCCAGTTTTTTCAAGAACTGTTGCTTTATTTTCTCATTCCAAGGGAGACATTTCTTGTATATTTTTAAAACAAGATAACTTTGCTTTGTCCCATTGGCAAATCTTGTTTTAAGGCAGTCAGAATGTGCTCAAATTAAGACATATTCTGCCAAATTTGAGACATTTTTGACTCATTTTTCATCACTTTTTGCAGAGCACTTAAGAGTTCAAAAAGAGGAGGAGCAGAAACGGTAAAATGTTCTGGTTCTGGGTTTGGTTCCACTTCCAGGCTTTTCTGTCTGGAGTTTGCACGTTCTTCCCATGTCTGTCTAGGTTTCCTCTGGGTGCTCCGGTTTCCCTTCCTACTAAAAACATACTCAACAGGTCCCGCACAGTGTGGGCGGGTCCCGGCTCCAAAGTGGCTAAAATGACGTGCGCTGACATGCTGCAGTACCACCCCGGGCC